ATGTGTGTATGTATAATATATATGTGTTTATATTTGTGTGTGTGTGTGTGTGTGTGTGTGTATATATATATATATATAAAATTTATTTTTTGGAGACAGTGTCTCACTTTGTCACCCAGGCTAGAGTGCAGTGGTGCAGTCATGGCTCACTGCAGCCTTGACCTCCTAGACTCAAGTGATCTCCTACCTCAGCCTCCTGAGTACCTGGGACTACAGGCATGTGCCACCATGCTTTAGGTCTCCCAAAATGCTGAGATAACAGGTGTGAGCCACCACACCTGGCTTATTTCATTTTTCTTGATGGCTTTCTAATATTTCTTTTTTTTCCTCACACTGTTGACTAGGAGCCTTTCTAATATTTCTGATATTTCTTTGTATCATTATACTGCCACATATTTAACCTGTTGGCACACAGGCTTTCTCCATACTTTTAACTTTATAGTGTAGCAGAAAATGACCTTTCTTTTTTTTTTTTTGAGACAGTCTTCCTCTGTTGCCCAGGCTGGAGTGCGGTGGCACAATCTCGGCTCACTGCAACCTCTGCCTCCCAGATTCAAGCGATTCTCCTGTCTCAGCCTCCTGAGTAGCTGGGATTACAGGCGCCCACCACCATGCCCAGCCAGTTTTTTTTTGCATTTTTAGTAGAGACATGGTTTCACCGTGTTAGTGAGGCTGATCTTGAACTCCTGACCTCAAGTGATTCTCCCACCTCTGCTTCCCAAAGTTGGGATTACAGGCATGAGCCACCACACCCAGCCGACCTTTCTCTTTTAGATAAAGTAGAATTACTCGGTCAAATGATAATGTGTATTTTAAATTTTCATAGGTTTTCTCAATTTGCTTTACACTGAGACTAAACCAGTTTGTGCCCCATTCCCCAGTACTATCAGCACTATTTTCGTATACCTTTACCAGCTAATTTAAAGAGTTAAATTTTAACTTCCGTGAAAGGCAGGTACTGCCTTAGCGCAAGTATCTTTAGTATCTAACACAAAAACAGGCACTTAATAAATTTTGTTTGTGGAAGAAATGAATTATTGAAAATAATTAATAAGCTTATGAAGTTACATTAACTCTATAAAGCCAAACAAGTATTCATACTTGAAATTGTATCTACTGTGAGGCAGTAGGTATAAAATTTGTTACTTATACTACCTCCTTGATTCTTCCAACCATCTTATGAGGCAAATGGTAGTTTCTGAGTTATAGTGGTAGTGCTGCAATGTAAGATTGGTCCTGTCTGTATAACTTCAAAGTCTGTGGCATGTTTCGTTTCGTTTCTTTTCTTTTTCTTTTTTGAAACAGGGTTTCACTCTGTCACCCAAGCTGGAGTGCAGTGGTGTAATCATGGCTCACTGCATCCTGGACCTCCTTGGCTCACATCCTGGACCTCCTTGGCTCGAGCGATCCACCTACCTCAGCCTCCTGAGTATCTGGGGTCACAGTCATGTACCACTACCCCATGGCTAATTTTTAAAGTTTTTATAGAGACAAGTCTCAGAGTCTTACTTTGTTGGCCAGGTTGTTCTTGAACTCATGGGCTCAAGCGATCCTTTTACTTCAGCCTCCCGAAGTGTTGGGATTATAGATAGGAGCCACCATGCCTGACCATGTGGCATTTTTCAGTACCCACATTATCTCTTTCTTATTTTAAATAATGTAATATTTTCAGATTTTTAGAAACTACCTTTTAGAAATTTTTATCTGGAAGAAAAGTGCATTTTAAATTATTATAGACTGTTTTTTAATCTTTCTGTATCTTCTAAACGAACAGGTCGCTTCTATGTATTTTTTTCTTTTTATATTCTTTCATGATGATTGCTTAGAAATACTAAACTAGTAAGCCCTTGTTCTTGGAATATTTGAGGAAAATTTAGAACATTTTGTATGCTTGCCATTTCAGGACTTTGTAGAATAGTGTTGGCCCTAAATAAACAAATAGCAGTGCAGAGTTTTGTTTTTTGCAGTCATGGTAACCACTGCCTCTGTGCATTCTTTTTGTAAATGAAAGAAAAAGAAATCGACTGCACTTCTAAGCTTTCCTTGTGAAAACAGGATTACTTGTTAAAAAAAAAAAAGTATACAAAAAGCCTGTCCTATAAGGAAATCGGAAACGATTGATTGCAGCCATACACTTTCTGATCTAACTTGGGGGAAAATGTTCCTATTCTGTTTTTTTCTTTCTTGTCTCTTTGAGGCTTTTTCTCTCATCATTTACTTACTCTTTAAATAATTTGTTTTATTCTCTCTTACGGTTTCCTTTTTTTCTATAAGAAGCCGGGTTGTCTTTTCTTAAAAAAAAAAAAAAGAAAAAGAAAATCCTTTCCTCCAACTCTAAACTATTCTTTCTTTTTTAATTCTGACACTTTTGTAAGACTAGCTCTGTAGTCATTACCTGTACTTGCTCACCACTTGCTCCATTATTCACCTAGTGATTTCCACTCTTCATTTCACAGACATTGCCCTGTCAGAAGTTACAATGATCTCTTACTTACAAATCCTCAGGTTTATCAGCTTTCTTCTGTTAAGTCTTTTTGGAGCAGTTTAACTCCCCTTGTTTTAGTGAGAGACTATATTTGTCTTTGATTTTTATGACATCTCTTGTGCTTATCCCCATTAATTAGACTTTTTTTTAAGATTTTGACTTCTGCCCTTCTGTTTTTATATTCTGTACATTACCTGTGATCATTTTCTTTTATGACCATGTTTCATATCTGCTCCTTAACTCACTTCATCTCAGAGGTGTATTTCCCATAGCCTGATAGACCTCTCCCTAGATTTCTGGCTATAATTCCAAACTAACTTTCCACTTTTAATTTAGCATTATACTTCTCCTGTCATCACCTGTTCCCTGGCTCCCCATACCACCACCACCACCATCACCACTACCACCACCACCACCAACAACAAGCAGCACTTTTTATACTTGCCCTTACTGTATTTATTTTGAATACAGCACTGATATCACTAATCTAGTTATTTTGTTTTCTGGACTAAATTTCCTCTTTCTGATTTTCCCAATTCTAAATGAGGCCATCATCAAGTTTTGATTTAATCTGGTGGTCTGCTAATTCACTTATTTCCATGCATCTCTCATTTTAAAATGCTATACTTGACTTCATTCTTTTTTGTCATTAGATTAAAATCCAGCTTTTAGATTTCTGACAAATTTGGATCTGGGCACGAAGCCTTCCTTGAAAACCAGAGCAACATCTATTCATTTCTGTTATTCTCAAGTTCTTTTGCCTCACTTTATAAGATTTATGACAATAATAGTCACTATTTATGGTAGCTGATGAGTATGGTTTAAGGGGCTGTAAAAGTCAAGGAGAAAATGGTTTTTACAAATTGAAAAAAATTATCTATTTAAAGAGGTTAGAATTAAACTAAAAAGTTACTTAAGTGGGGATGACTGTATCTTTTTTTATGTAATTTCTGTAGGATTTTACATTATTATTATTATACTTATATTGGAAGTTATCTCATCCTTGGATTGTGTTCTGGTATTTTATGTGCCCCATTATTAAGTTGTTGGAATACATATTCCCATTTCTATAGAAAACTTGAAAACTTTATTTATTTATTTATTTATTTTTGAGACAGGGTCTTGCTCTGTTGCCCAGACTAGAGTGCAGTGATGCAAAATTATGGCTCACTGCAGCCTCAACTGCTGGGGCTCAGGTGATTCTCCCACGTCAGCCTCCCAAGTAGCTGGGACTGCAGGTGTGGAGCAGCACACCTGGCTAATTTTTCTATTTTTCTGTAGAGACAAGGTCTTGCCATTTTGCCCAGGCTGGGCTCGAACTCCTGAGCTCAAACAATCCGCCCCCCTCAGCCTCTCAGTGTTGAGATTACAGGTGTGAGCCACCATGCCTGGCCAAAAACATCCTTTAAAGTCCACATCATTTATGATGTCTTCCTTCGTCTCTGCTAGCAGTTATAGTTTTTTGTTTTTTGCTTTCACAGAATTAGGTATTACTATAATCTTTTTTTTTTTTTTTTTTTTAAGAAATGGGTCTTGCTGTGTTACTCGGACTGGTTTCAAACTCATGGCCACAAGGATCCTCCTGCCTGGGTCTCCCAAAATGTTGGGATTACAGATTTGAGCCACTGTGCCTGGCCTCAAGTAGTTCTTACTCATCTTTTTTACCACTGCCTTCCACATCTTATGTACATAGTAGGTCCTCAATAAATGTTAGTTAATTGAAATTATTTCCCTTATGCCTGAGATACTTTTCCTACTCATGAATTATAATCACTCTGACACAGATTGCTAAATGGCTGTGGGTAGATTGCATAATCTTTTAAATATCTTTGTCATGAAACTGGTAACGCCTTCTCTCAAAGGGTTAGGTTATCATTAGCTAGTACAAGGCTTTGAAGATGAAGAAGTTAAGGTTGAGCATTATGATCATCCTATTAAGGATGAATTGTTAGCATCAGGTTTGTAGATAGAAGCTTTCCCAAAGCTTGAAGTTAATTAAATGGTGCCGAAGTAATTATTTTGTACCTGTTTACATTGTGGTTGCTTGCTTAACTTAAATCCCCAGATTTCTTTGGAGAGACGGAGTCTTTGGTAATGCTCTTTATTCTGAGGTCTCTGTCTTAGAGCCAAATCAAGATTGAAACCTCCCGTGACAAAGAAGTAAATATACCAGAACATTGTAGCAGTTAGGATGATGTGCTTTGTATTATGCTTGAAGTATGTTATATGCCAGAGGTCCTCAGACTTCCGTGTACTAAGAATCATTTGGAAGCCCTCATTAAAAATGTTTCACCTCCAGAGATTCCAGTCCAGCCGGTTGTATTTTTTAATGAGTAATGCAGGTGATTTTTGATTCAGGTAGTATGTAAACAACAGTTTGAGTAATACTTCTGAGTGGAATTGAAGAAAGCCCGTAGAATATGCAGATGGCCAATAAATAAATGTGCAAAACTCACTTAAATTGATATTCAAGTAACTATATACTCAGATTCTTTTAAAAATTCAAATATTTTACTTTTTTTTTTTTTTGGCTTCATTTCAGTGGTACATAGTACTTATTTCCAGAGTATATTTGGGAAACTAGTACCTGCAGATGTTTCATGAAAAAAGAGAGCTTGATCAAATAAGTTTGTGAAATGTTATATACTTTATTCCATCCTTAGAGATTTACTTTGCATGTTATGATAATACTCTTAGAAGTTTCGCAGCAAAAAGCCTTGGACCTCATTGTTTTCCAAACTTCATTCACCATGAGCCCTCCTTTCTTTCCCCTAATAATTTCTATTAATAATTTGTGAACAAATTTCCAGAAATTTTGTTTGTTGTTTTTCATTGTTACTGTGGAATTTAAAAAAATAGGGTATGTTTTTATAATTCAGGAGCTTAAAATCTTGCTAGAATTTCAAGACTTGGACATGGCATTTTAAAGATGATAAATATATAATGCTAAGTTGAAATAATCAAGTGCCCAAATGTATAGTAGGGCTGCAGCTAGCAGGGGAGATAAGCTTAATTTAGGCTAGATTCTTCAGGGAGATTTCATGAAGGAAAAAAAAAATGGGTCCTGAGATGGGTCTTGAGGTGAGTGATCAAATTTGATTAGAAGGAGTAATGCTGGTCTGGGCTATCTAAATTGGCATAGTAGTTTATAGGTGCTAGTTTCTGTATCACAGATATACTCTAGCTTAAAACACATGATGTTGCTTCCTCAGTGACTACTTTTTTTTCAGTGAACAATCATTTTATTACTTGAGTACATAGACAAACTTATGCAACCAGGGCAGAGGCTGTGGATGACTCATATTTCCAGTTGGGAGGGAGGATTTGCTTGGTCGTGTATTAGTAATATTGAGCCAGTCGGTGAATTCGTCTATCAGAATCAGATGGAATTTGGCATCCTTATCCTTTCTGTTCCTCTCAAGATGCTTTTGAATAGCAACTGCTTGCTTAATTAAACAGTAGTGATCCTCTGGGAGATCAGGAGCGAGTCTTTTGGACTTAAGGATTCTTAAGATTGTATTGCCTGTCACAAAACATACTTGTGTAACACCGTATGAGCCTCAGGATCACACTGATTTGTGAGGGAGGCAGACCCTTCTTGGTCAGTTTGTAAGTCTGCTCCTTCATGTCATCAGATGTCAACTTCAGCCAAGTGGGAACCTTGCAGTGACGGGGCAGAGCCGATTGAGACAGGCCCTTCCCAGGAGTGTGCATGCGACTCATGATGGTGGCAATCAGGCGGTCCAGTGACAATGTCTTGAATATGTTGTGTAATAATGCTTTTCAAACTCTAATGTGCACATGAGTCACCTGGGGATCTTTTTAAAATGGTTTCTGATTCAGTGGGTCTGAGGGTGGAGCCTGAGATTCTACATTTCTAAGGAGCTCCCAAATAGATGATGCCCATGTTGTTGGTTCACAGACCAGATTTGGAGTAAAGGATGTCTTGGATTTGTAGTTCAGTTAGATGACTTTTAATGCACATTTTAACCTTGGGAGTCTGTAAATATCCCAGGTTGGAGTGGGTGAGATAGTATAAAAACTAAAGCTAGGCGTGGTGGCTCATGGTTGTAATCCCAGTGCTTTGTGGGGCCGAGGCGGGAGGATCTCTTGAGGTCAGGAGTTTGAGAACAACCTGGCAATGAGACCCTGTCTCAAATAAAATAAAACAATAAAAATATGAAATAAAAAGTAAGAGGTTGGGCACGGTGGCTCATGCTTGTAATACCAGCACTTTGGGAGGCCGAGGCGGGCAGATCACGAGGTCAGGAGTTCGAGACCAGCCTGGCCAACACAGTGAAATGTTGTCTCTACTAAAAATACAAAACTTAGCTGGGCATGGTGGCGTGCACCTGTAATCCCAGCTACTCAGGAGGCTGAGGCAGGAGAATTGCTTGAACCAGGAGGTGGAGGTTGCAGTGAGCCAAGACCACTGCACTCCAGCCTGGGTGACAGAGCTAGACTACGTCTCAAAAAAAAAAAAAAAAAAAACAAAAAACAGAAAACTGTATTAGAAATGAAAGGACTGTTGGGCGCAGTGGCTGACGCCTGTAATCTCAGCACTTTGGGAGGCTGAGGTGGGTGGATCTCGAGGTCAGGAGTTGGAGACCAGCCTGGCCAATATGGTGAAACCCCATCTCTACTAAAAATGCAAAAATTAGCTGGGCGTGGTGGCGGACGCCTGTAGTCCCAGCTACTCAGGAGGCTGAGGCAGGAGAATTGCCTGAACCCGGGAGGCAGAGCTTGTAGTGAGCCAAGATCGTGCCACTGCACTCCAGCTTGGGTGACAGAGCGAGACTCCGTCTCACAGGAAAAAAAAAAAAATGAAAGGACTAAATTAAGAAACACTCATTTGAGTATAGTATGTTGACTAACAAAGGATTATTATAAGATTCAAGTATTTCTTAAATGATTTTCCACCCTGTACTGAATATAGTTTGGAAGTAGCTAACTAACTTTTCTTGGGAACTTAACCTAATAAGTGATGGTGTATTATGAAACTAATATACCATCTTAATTGTATACATGCTCATATTTGAATTTCAAGTATTTTTTCTTCTGTGCCTTTTAGTACCAGTGTGGCCTTGTGGCTTTTTTTTTTTTTTTTTTTTTTCCGAAATGGGGTCTTGCTCTTTCGCCCACGTTGTGATGTGATCACAGCTCACTGCAGCCTTGACCGCCTGTGCTCAAGCAATCTTCCCACCTCACTCTCTCTGAGTAGCTGGGACCACTGATGCATACCTCCATGCCCAACTAATTATTGTTTTTCTTTTGAGACAGAGTTTTCCTCTTGTTGCCCAGGCTGGAGTGCAATGGCATGATCTCGGCTCACTGCAACCTCTGCCTCCTGGGTTCAAGCGATTCTTCTGCCTCAGCCTCCCCAGTATCTGGGATTACAGGCATGTGCCACCATGCCTGGCTGATTTTGTATTTTTAGTAGAGATAGGGTTTCACCATGTTGGTCAGGCTGGTCTGGAACGCCTGACCTCAGGTGATCCACCCGCCTCGGCCTCGCAAAGTGCTGGGATTATAGGCATGAGCCACCACGCCTGACCTAACTAATTTTTATTTTTAATTTTTTTGTAGAGATAAGGTCTCATTATGTTGCCCAGGCTGGTCTGGGGCACTCCTGGCCTCAAGCAGTCATCCTGCCTTGACCTCCCAAAGTTTTGGGATTTCTTTTTTTTTTTTTTTTG